AGGTCCGCGCTGCGCGTCAGGGCGCCAGCGCCGCACCCCTGCCGTCCCAGAAGGGACGTCGCGTCCCTCGCAGTTCAGAGCCTTGGTCCCCAGGTGGGGCGCCGCAGCCTGGGACCCGTGCGGAGCCCAGCCCCCACTGCGCGCCCCCTTCCCTCGGCCCGCGCCGCCCCTGCGGCCACCACGCCAGCCGCAGGGGGCGCTGCTCGCCTCCGACGCCCCTTCCCTCCTTCCACAGCGGCGCCTGTGGAGCGGCGGGTCAACCAACGCTCCTGGGCGCAGGTTGTGCGCCGGGCTTGGCACTGGCGCAAGGATGGCCGGGCCCGACCCTCGAATGACGCCCAGGCCAGGACCCAGGCTGGGAAGGGGAGGAGGACAGGAGACAAAAGCCAGTGGTGCGTCTCTTGGCGCCCAAGCTGCCCTGACTCCTTCCAAAGAGGCTCCTCCCGCCTGGTGGCCAGACCCTCTGGTCCCACCTCTCTGCCACACCGCTAGGTTACCTTCCTTGTCCCCAAACCTCACCTCCCTCCCAGGGATGTCAGTGGTGGCCTTGGGCTTAGTGATCCTGATAGGTGCCAGAAGGGTCACCCGCCCACATGAGGACTGAGCTGTCTTCTCTCCCCCTGAGTTCTCTGGGCCCTGGCCTGGGCACTGGGGTAGAGCCAGGGGCTGCCGGGGGCTGGGGCTAGTGACTGCCCTGACAGCAGGAGCTGGTGGGCAACTACTGCACAATGGAACTTGAAGGAGCCCAAGGCGCCGTCCAGAGGTGTGGCCCCGCGGGAACCCAGAAGCCCCCTCTTCCGGGGATCCGTGCTTCTGGAGCTCACAGTGTGGGGGTGCCTCTGAGGGCACAGCGCCCCTCCCAGGCTCACCGGCCCATGCCTGAGAAGGGTCCTACCTGGCTCACCGCCTCTCTTCAGCAGCCCTTTCAGGGGCTACAGGAGCCAGAGGTCCCTGAAGGGGTGGACCAGTCCCCAGTTGCCCTTGGGCTGGCCGTTCTCTCAGGGACAGTGCCCCCCTCCACCTGAGCCCCTTGAGCCCCTCACCAGTGAGGTGTGGAAGCTGGGTGGGGGCAGGATACAGCCCAGGCCCACCACACACAGCAGCCCTCCCCAGGTAAGGGTCCATCAGCCTGTGCTGAGGCCTCTGCACGCCTCCTGCTCCTGCAGGCAGCAGGGCTACTGCCTGGGGTGGGGGCTGGCAGTGGGGGCTCTGGGCCAGGGCAGCAAGAAACTCCACCACCCCTGCTCCAAGGCCCAGGCCTCATCTCTGCTGCTCCTGCCCACACCCACGGTGGTACCTAGCAAGTCACCCTCCGCAGGCCCTGGGTGCCACGGAGTGACCATGCAGACAGCCTCACCCACCATCCCAGGGATGAACAGAGAACCAGTTCATATGGCAGTGGAGGAAAGACCAGGGAGCAGACCCCTCTCAGCCGAGACCCAGAGGGTGGGCAAATCAGCCGGGTGAGACACCCTGGCAGTACAGACCACATATGCAAAAGCCTTGGGGATCGAGAGACAGCCAGTGGCCAGAGGCACAGATGAGACCAGTCACACACCCTGACTGCTGAGGAGGAATGGGGAGTAAGGTAAGAACAGGGCCTGAGTCTGTTATAGGGCCAGCTAGAGGGGCCCTTCTTGGGCCCCGGCTGGGGAGGCGAAGAGGGGAGCCCAGCCTGGGAGGTGGAGTCCTAGGAACCACCCCTCGCCCCACCTGCCCCTCCTTCTGGCCTCCTAGCTCTCTGATCTCAGAAGACAGGCTGAAGCACACTAGTTCGTACCACAGTGTGACTGGCTGATGGGGCAGACCCAGGCTCCCTCAGTCTCAGCGCCGTCTCAGCTTGTGGGCACCCGGTGACAATGCCCGCCCCACCTCTAACCTGTCTGCCCTTCAGCAGTCATCTCCCCCTGCAGCCTGCTTGTGGAGCTGGGGAGATGTGGCCCGAACCATCCACCCGCTCCAGGCCCCTTGGGAGTGGGACCTGGGTCCCTTTGGCCCAGGGCAGCTGCGTGGGCTTCCGAGCTAAGGGCCAACAGGTCCAGGACACTTTGCACCTGCCGTGCAGGCTCCCTGCCTGCCCGCTCAGGGTGCCCCCTCACAGTCCCCTCCCCCTTCTGCCTGTTAGGGCCACGCCCCAGACCTAATGGTGCCGCAGGAGGCTGAGGTCAAGAAGGCAGCCATGCCTGGGGGAGGAGGTGGCCACTGGAGGCCATGGAGCACCTTGTCCCTCCTGGGGTCCCTTCCATGCAGGGACTTCTTGGGCCAGAAAGGGCGAGGTGGCTGGAGCCTGTGTGATCCTCCAAAAAGGAGCAGTGGGGCCACTGGCCTTCATCTCCCGATGGATGCTGTGTGCTCTGAAGTACTGGGGGAGGGGGTCACAGGTGCCCAGCAGGGGCTGGGGCTCCTGACCCCAGCCTTGCTGCCGTCTCTTCCAGGGAGGCCCCCACACCATTTTGGGGCCCACTGGGCTGCAGCAGCCTTCAGCCTCCCAGCACGCCCTCTGCTCTGGGAGTACCCTCTCTGAGTTTCCCAGGGGCTGGAGTGAGCTCTGAGGTGGGCGTTCAGCCCCGGTGGGGACCGTCCCAGGTTTGGACAGAGCCAGCTGACTCCAGAGTGAGCAGTGCTTCCGCCCTGTGCTGCGGGGCTAAATATAGAGGCCAGGGAGGGGAGTTTCCGGTTACAGCCCCCCCCCAAGTGCCGGGAAATCGATGCCAGCTCCATTAGGGCCGGGCCGTGGCGGTGCCTGCTGACCTTCCCCATCCGCTGCAGAGCAGAGGGAAGACGGCTGGATTGGACCCAAGTCCAGGTGCCCTGTCCACCCCCACCAGTCTAGAGCCAACACCCAGCACCTCCCCTGGGCACCTCAGAGCCCCCCGCCCGGGGCCAGCAGGCTCTGAGTCTGGGCGTCAGGAAGGCTGGCATGAGGGGGAGGTGAGTGGGCAGCTCCAAGGCTGGGAGGACACCCCTGGTCTGCAGCTCATTCCCAGACGTCTGGGTCCTCCTCCCTCCAGGGCCCCTCTCCCCAGCAGCCATGTCAGTCCTCTGGCTGGGCTCCCAGGAGGCCCCACCTGAGTCCTGGCCAGCATTTGCATACAGGTGGTGCTATTCAAGTGGGCACCTGCCAGTGACCTCCTCAGGGCGGCCTTGACCCCCAGACCCAGAGGCTGGGCAGCCCTGCCCCAGTTCAGCTCTGCCACGCGCACACCCCGGCCAGACACGGGTGGCATGTGAATGCTCACACAAAGGGCCCAGCTGCTGGGGTCAGGTGGGTAGGGCAAGGGGACCTCAGCCTTGTGTGCAGTGCCCCCAATCTGACAACGGGGTCTCAGCTGGACCCAGAGGTCATGTGCCATGAGTCCACCACTTGTGCTCTAGAGACACTGGGCGCAAAACACAAAAGTGAAGGTGGCAGCAACGTCCCCAGTCACCCTGGGAGCAGCATCCCCCAACACCTCTGCTTCCCAGTGTCAGGGAGCCTGGATTCAGAAACCTCAGAAAGATTCAGGCCCGCATCTTCACCCCAGGGAGCCTCCCGACCTGCAGGCCAGGGCTCCATCACCACTGCACTGGTCTCACGGGGCATCTGCCAGGGCTTCTGCCACAGTGATGGGCACACTCCCTCCCATAACAGCCCCACCTGGGCACCTATGATCCTGCCTATGTGTCTGGCCCCAGGACCTCTTGAAACAGGGTCTCCAGGTAGCTCCACCCCTGAGCAAGGTCAGAGGGCATGATGCACACAAGCCAGTGAGCCCCCACCCTGGGGCCCAGCAGCCTCGGCCTCCAGCACCCCCACCCCCATGGACTGGCTCATTCCATAGCCCACCAGTGGGCCCACCCGTGTCTGCACTGTACCCTCCTTGAGCACCTGGCCTGGCCAAACCTCAGTCCCCACCTCTCTCTGGCCATAATCCCGAGAGGGTCTCTAGCTCTCCTGGCCTGCCTCACAGCCTGTGGCATTATCTGAGCTTGTCCTCTGCCCCAGGGGGCTGCCCCTTCTGCCAGTCACTGCTCCCAGAGCAGTCACCCCACATGGTCTGCAGCTGGAAGCTTCCACTCCATGGAGACCCACCATTCCCCACCCCTCCCTGCCTCTCTCCCGCCCAGGCCACAGAGCTCAGGCCAGTGGACAGAGGCTGGGGCTGCACAGCCTTTATTGGGTCTGCAAGGCAGTGGGTGGGTGGCTGACCTCGGGGGTCTCACTGGGCACCTAGGCCAGGAGCCACGTGGCTGAGGAACCAGAAGATGCCAAAGATGACGCCAAGGGTCTTGGGGATGTCCAGGTTGTCTGCAAAAGCCTGGGCACCGTCCAGGGGCAGGTGTACCACCTCTATGAGTTCACCCTCTTCTGCCAGGCCCCCACCTGAGCTGCCACGCTGGGCATCAGTCACCTCCGCGTAGAACATCGTCTGGTTGGAGCCCGTCAGCCCCACGCCAGACCTACAGAACAAGATGGTGTTGGTGTCGGCTCAGCCATCCACAGCAGTCCCTGGCCACCAGTACCTCCCATAGCCCCCCTATGCTACCTGGACTGCCACACTGGGTGTCAGTCACCTCTGTGTTGAACATGGTCTGGTTGGAGCCGGTCAGCCCCATACCAGACCAACAGGACAAGCCAGTGTCAGCTCAGCCATCCATGGCAGCCCCCGGCTGCCAGCACCCCACATGCCACCCTCTCTGCCACACTCCTAAACCTGTGGTGGGCAAGGTTCTAAGCCTCACTCCTCCAGTGCAGGTGAAACCTGAGGAGGTGATGGGATGCCACTTCCGCCATTGAGTCAGGTTACAACAAAGGTGAAAGGGTTCTGCAAATGTAGTGAAGGACCCCAGTCAGTTGAGCTAATAACGAGAAACTGCCCTGGGTGTGCCTGACATAATCAGATGAGTTCTTAAGAAAGGATTTAGAAATGGAGGGAGTTAGAGAGATTCTTGGGATGGTCTTGATGATGAAGCAAACAGCCAGGTGATGGGACCTAGCAGGCCCAAGGCTGGCTCCCAAGCACTGAAGGGGTCCCAGATAACAGCCAGAAGAAAATAAGGAACTGTCACCAGCCACTGGGAACCGAATTCTGCCACAAATGCATGGGTTTAGAAGAAGACCCCGAGCATCAGGCGAAACTCCCTGCCAACCCAATGAACGCGCCTGAGCACAGGACCCAGCATGCCAGTGCTCGCACGCCTCGTTCAGAGACTGAGAGCCAGTCAACATGTTTTCTCCAGCCAAGTTGGTGGTGGCGTGGTGAGCAGTGCAGCCGACCAACAAGGCAGGCCCTGCACCTTGCTCAGCCATGTGCCCAGCACATGTCCCCTCAGCTGGGCCTTCCACCTGCACCTGGGCTCCCAGGCTGGCTGGGAATAGGGAGAAACCCAGGGTTGGCACAGCCCACGGCAGTGAGAGCTTCACATAGACCTTGCCAGGTGCAAGTTCCCAACTGGAGAAGGGCACGTGCCCAGGGGGCCATGCGTGGGCCCTGGGGCAGGGTAGGTGAAGGCAAGGGCAGCTGCACCCAGTGCACACAGGCCTAAGGGCCAGGCTGGACACCCACTGGCTGTAGGCTGGAGCAGGGGTGAGGGGTCCCCTCCTTCAGAGGTGATGGCCAGAGTGAGGGCAGGCACTAGACCAGCAGGGGTAGACAGGAGGAGCAGGCAGCCAAGGTGATGTGGGTTGTGGATACCGGGTAGCCGGGGGCCAGGCCAGCTTCTAGAACAGGAGCGGATGTGCCAGGTATGGGTCTGGGGAGGAGGGAGTAGGATGGGTACCTGGGGAGATACTCAGGTGAGGGAGGCTGAGCTTGCCCTGGGAGGCGGGTGGCTGGCATGAGTCCAGGCCAGAGAGAGGCTGAGGGGTGAGGCCGCCCAGGACACAGAGGCCTAAAGCACACTGGGCACCTTCTACCGCCAAGCCCCCCACCCCATGCTCCAGGGCAACAGGCCCACCCCAGACCGACCTCACCCCAGCTGCTTCCTCTCCTACCGCCAGCCCCTTATCTCCCGCTGACCCCTTCCTGATGGCCCATTTCCGGTGGTGACCGCCTTTGATGGCTGTGGCAGCCTACAGGGCTCCCAAGCCCGGTTTCCGCTGCCCCGTGAAGGAGAGGCCTAGCCTTTGGCTCAGGCCAAGAAGAATACGTCCAGCGGGTACTGGGCACTGCCCCTCCCCGGGCCTCTTCCCAACCTCAGCCCAAGGGCGCGTTCAACCACCAGCTCTCTGGTGATGCCTTTAGCTCCCTTGGCCTTGTCACCCAGGAGAAGCAGGTGAGTAACCTGGCTCCCCTCCCGGCCACTTGTCAGGCCTCTGATCTCCACTCCAGCCCCTGCAGTTCTGGCTCCCCACAGTCATACCTCCTCTTCGACCTGCTCAGAAGCCTCCATGGCTCCCCGGTGCCCTCAGATCAGACCATGGCCCAGGGGCCCCGCCTGGTCCGGGGCTGCTAGGCCACTTGCCTCCGAGCCTCTGCCCCACAAGTCCCTCTGCCAGGACTCGGCCAGGCCCACCTCCTCCAGAAGGACCGCTCCTGAGCCAGCCTTCTCCCAGTCTTCCCTGTCCTTGGCCTTCACTGGCCAGGCGTCTCAGAACCCTCCAGTGTCTGGTGGCACAGTTACAGATCACTGGGGCCTGGCCTTCACATACCCTGAGGCCTAGCCCTGTGGGACAGAAATCCTGCCTTCCAGATGGGTCTCTGAGGACTGGAGGTTGCCCCAAACCCCTCTGTAGGCCTGGGCCCAGTGGGGCCGCTGCGGTTGCTGAGAGGCCTCCATGCTGGGCAGTGAGACGTGGCAGAAGGGTCTGACCTCCCCTGGGGCCAGGGACCTGTCACAGCAGCCCTGAGCTGCTGAGAACCAGGGGTGCCAGGGGTACCCAGGGTCAAGTCACCAGCCAGATACCTCTGGGTGGGAAGGTGGCTCTAGTGGGTGGGGTCAGAAGGGGCGACATCTGGGATGTGGCTGGGCAGCCTGGAAAACCCAGATCTCACTCCTGCCCCACCCCAAGCTGGAGTCTCCTCCCCCCCCCCCCCCGGGCCCACGGCTTAGTTTCTTTCCCCATTCCTAACCCACTGTCGTCTGAGACCAGATCTGACTCACCCCCACCCCCAGCGCCCGGTGCTTAATCCCACAGGAAGCAGAGGCATCTGTCAGCAGCAGCTGCCCACGTGGCTGGGGGCCGCAGGGTGGGGGCGCGGGGCCAGCAGGCTCGAGAACAAGTCCCAGGAACCCCAGTTCCAGGCCGGCTTATGATTGGAGGCCCAACCCCAGAATCGAGAAGAAATCTGTTTGCTTGCACTCCCCTGGGGATGGGGTGCTCACGTCCTCCCCAGTCGCCTATCCTGGCCACTAGGCCAGTCTGACCAGCCCCTGTGCCTGCGGCTGCAAGACTCACTTGTACACGGCAACTCGGCGCAGGTCAGAGGGGGCCAGCCGGTAGCCACACTCCTCCCAGGCCTCTTTGCAGGCCACCTCTTCCACGGAGAGCCCTGGCTGGTCCACGAGGCCTGCACACAGCTCATATGTCACCCCCACTGAGCCGGGCAGAGCTGACTGCAGTCCCTGGGGTGTGTCCTGGTCTACCGCTGCCAGGGACCCTGGGAAGTGGCGTTCCACCTCATCTGCGTACACAGCTGGATGGGGAGGGAAAGCACCCCCAAGTGAGCTACTCTCGCAGGCTGCCCTGGGCCAGACCCCCTCTCGGGGTCTCAGCTTCCCCTGGAGGCCCCTCCCCACATCGGCACACAGACCCTGGGGGCCCAGGCAGGCGGAAGGGCGGGGAGCCTGGAGCCCTCCTGGGCCCCACCCCGGGCAGCTCACCTGGCCGGAACTGCTTTACCAGCACCAGGCTCCTCCTGGATGAGTTGAACAGGAGCACGGCCACGCTGCGGGGGAGAGGGGCATCCGCTCAGCACAGACAAAAGCCCCACTCCTGGGGCCTGGTTCTCAGTGTGCTCATCTCCCCACCAGCCTGGGAAAGGCAGGCCCCTTGCTCTGACAGGGAAGCTGAGGCCCAGGATCGAGCTGGCAGGAGGGGCCTCGGGGTGGGGAGAAGGGCACGTAGGACAGCAGGGCCAGTCAGGAGTGGCAAGGCAGCAGCTGAGGCCAGATGACGGGCGGGACACACGGGCCGTGCCAGCCAGCTGCTCGCTGGCTGCACTCTACTACCGTCCAGCCAGACCCCTGATGCTGGAGGCAAGGGCACCATGACAGCTCGTTCCCAAGGGCCTGCCCTCCGCCATGGCCGAGGCATAGCCTGCAGGCCTCAGCACTGACCCCTCAGGGACGGGGTCTAGAGACCATGCGGGGCCTGGCCAGAGGCAGGGCTTCCTCCTCCAGGCCCACTGTCCCCCTGGACCACTGAGCCCTCACCTGTCATGTGTCTTCATGAAGTCCCATGACTTCTGGAGGCCGTTCTGAAAGAGGCAGGGCCAAAGTTGGGGAGGCCACCAGGTGGTCAAAGTGGGCTGCTAGAAGGCACAGGGTGGCCACCAGGCAGGGTAGGGGACGCTCCTGGGAGCCGGGAGACCAGACAGACCAAGCTGCCCTGGTTCCTAGTCTGGAGATCTGCTCACGGGCTGGTGCAGCGGCAGGTGGCCGCGGGGAAGGCCTGGGCTGGCGGAAGGTTAAGGGTAGCCTCACCCCAGCAGGGATAAGGCAGAAAATCAGGGCAAAGGGCAGAAAAGGCATCCCAGGAACGACATGAGCTGTCACCCAGCACCCCAGCGCGGGACACAGGGCCGAGCACGTGGGGCTGTGGAGAAGTATACGCTGTCACCAAGTGGGGGCGCGCACACACGGCAGGAGGGCCGGGCAGGTCCCCTGAGGGAGCACCAGCTCTAGGAGCAGCTGGAGTGGTAGTGCCCCAGCAGCTGGAAGAGCACTCCACAGCGCGAGGCGGTTCAGTGACGTGACTGGACAGTAGGAGTTTGGGGCCTGAAGCCAGGAAACCCACCCAGGCCCATGCTGCACCCTGAGCAACCTCACCTGGCCAGAACCACTCCCCTCCACCAACCGGCACCCCACTCTGAGCCTCTGCCCTGGCGGGGCTCCCAGGGTCTAGACAGCACCCAGGGAGCAAAGACGGTAATGCAGGGCAGAGGCCTGGGTAACAAGGACAGACACTAATGGGGCTGCAGCAGGCCCGGAATCCCACCCGCTGGGCACTGCTGGGAGAGGAGGTCCATCCTAGAGGGAGGACAGAGGGTGACTGAGGCCAGGCTCAGGCTGTAGCACGCAGCAGCCATTCCACCCGGTGCCACCTCCCTCTGCAGGGGGTCTCTGCTGAGGAGGCTGTGCTGGGCTCCCTGGGGTTCCAGTCTGGTGGGGGGTCCATGGGCCACCCAGTCACAGAGGCAGCCCCATGGCCCTGGTGAGCAGCTCGCTCTACCCTGGGTTCTGTCTGGGTGGAGGAGAGGGTAGGCCATGACATGCACCTGGACTGAGCAGGAGACAGAAAATGAAGGTGAGCTGAGAGCAGGGAGGGTGCTGAAGGGCTTCCTGGAGGAGGTGGTTGCCTCAGGCCCCACAGACTTGAGGGGGGCAGGTCCGGGACAGGTGGGAAGACTGCAGTGAGCTTGGCCAGGAGGCAGTGAGGAGGTGTGGCAGCCTTGGTTTCCATGGGGGGCCAGCGTCCCCAGGTGCACAGGTCAGGCTGCCCGAAGGCCATTGTGAGGCACCACCCAGCAGGCGAGCCTAGGCCTGCCCAACGTCGCCCTGGGGCCAGTCACCCCTGGGAAGACCAGGCAAGCTGCCCCCACTCACACCCCCTCTGTCAGTCTGCCCCATCCTGCTCCAGCTCCCCTGTGCTATCTGCCGGTCACCACGATCAGTTTGTACATCCAGCCAAGGCAGGGTGCAGGGAAGGGTCCTGAAGCCCACCTCCCACAGGACCTGGCGGTCAGGCTCCCTGGGAGGGAGGTGGTGTGGGGCAGGACTGGGGTGTGAGCAAGATGCCCTCCCCAGAACCTTGGTGGGTCCTGGGTCATTGTCTGTCAATCTACCAGGGGCCCCCGACAGGGGGTGGTGTGCCCTTGCACTAGCCCACGCCCACCACAGCCTGCTGCCTGCCTCAGCTGGGAGCCAGATGTCAGAGGAAACGTGCCGGCTGGCTGCCCCACAGCCCAACCATGGGCACCCTGCATCCACCCACCTGCCCCTAGAGCCCCAGCCCCTCGGGGGCTGTGCAGCCAAAGCCAGTGTTCCTATGGCTACCAGACTTCCACCCTGGGTCAGTGCCAGGGAAGAGAGCAGTGACATCTCCCACACATACACATCCCCCCCCCTCAGTCCCACAACTGGCCTGGTGCCGCCCAAGACCAGGTGCCAACCTGGGCCTATACCTGGGTATGAATTCCCAGCCTCTTGGAGCTCATAGGACTACACCACGAGGGGGAGATGAGGGGCTGGGGCCTCGCTCAGGCTGAAGTGGAAGTGGGGGCCTTCAGCAGTAACTTCCCAGAGGAAGGGGCCTGGAGAGTAGGGGAGGGGAGGACACTGCAGGCACAGGGAGGGGTGGCGCTGGCCAGGAGGGCGGGTCAACTGATGGCCATGGAGGAGCCCTAGCTGGAGGCCATGACTGGGGGCCAGCGAAGACACACCGGAAACGGCAGGTGCGGGCCGAGAAGGGGGCGGGCAGGTGCTCAGGAGGGCCCAGCCTGGGTGAGGGGAGGGCCGTCTGCGCCAGCCATGCGCTCCTGGCCCTGCTCTCCGGAGCTCGCAGTGTGTCAGGGGCACAGGGTGGGGAGGTGCTGCCCTCCCGGTGGAAGGGCTGCACTTGGGCAGCTTTCTACAAGCAGGTGGAGACCTCAGGGACCTGGGAAGCCCACCGGACGGCCGCTGCCAGGACCCCAGAGGCCGGCCCTCCAGTCCCCACCCAGGTCTGCCCCCAGCCTCCATTCCCCTGGCCGCCTGGAAGGCGTCCTCTTCTGCCCCTCTAACTCTTCCTTCAAGTACAGGCATCAAGGCAATGATCTCTGAAAGTTCTTTCCTCATCCCCGGGGCGCTGGATACGTCCCATTGCCCCAAGGGACGGAGAAGGCCCAGGGAGGGCCCCTTGCTTGGAGGGAAGAGCGGTGCCCCCAGGTGTCCCTCTCTTGGCCCCTCCCCGGGCTGGGCGCTCAGCCTGGCCGCGAACCCGCGACCCAACGGGCAGAGGCCAGGCCGCTCGCAGAGACCAGCATTCAGCTGGGGCAGGCGGGGATTAGGGCGCTCGGTGGGGCGGGGCCTGCGGGGCGCGGGGCGCCGGTGCAGTGGGCGGGGCCCCAGGGAGAGGGGCGGGGAGCCTTGCAGTGGGCGGGGCCCCGGGCGCGGGGCGGGGCGCCGGCCGGGGTTGGGGGGGCGAGCGGACAAGGGAGTTGCGCGAGGCGGACGGGAGCCGGCGCATGCTCACCTGACGGTAGTGCAGCGTGAGTGGCCGCAGGTAAGGCGAGTCGACGCAGCGGCTCACGGCCACCCCCTCGATCCTCTCCATGGCGGCGCGCCCAGGGCAGGAACGGGCTGGGCCGACTCCGAGGCGAGGCGGGTGGGAAAGGGCCTCTGGGCATGCGCGGGGCGGGGGCGAGGCGGGGAGCGGCGCGGCGCGGCGCGCGCAGGTGAGCGGCGTCCCTCGGCCTCGGGTCCCCCTCAGTCCTGCTGCTCGCTGCTCCCCAGGGGCGCGCTTGGGGCCTGGGCGTCTCAGGGGCTGTGGCAGGTCGGCTTCTGCGGCTTCTCGGGACCAGACCGGGGTTGGCGGGGCCGCCAGCGAGGCCAGGCCGTTCTGGAGTGAGGAGCTTCGCGCTACAGGAACTCCCAGCGGGGCCCGGGCTACGGGGCCGCGGTAGTGTCACCTGTGCTTCGCCAGGGCCGGCTGGGCATGACCTGACGTTCAGAAACTCGGGCCTGCGGCCCTCTTGGCCGTCGACTGGCCGGCTCGCTGAACCGTGGCCCCACGTGGGGCTGGCCAGGTGGCGGGGACGGAGCCTACTGGGTCCCAGCTACCCAGTGCTGGGTAGCAGACCGACCCAAAGCGCAGGGGATTGTAACGCCTCTTGTCGCGTCCGTCACAGTCGGCTTGCCTGGGCCTCTAGGCAGTTCCCCCCCGGGGGGCTGGAGTGGCATGAACGGCCTGTCCCCCATTTGCTGTCCTGGGGTTGGCTGGAAGGGAGGCCTGGCCCCGCCGTGCTGCACGTGGTCGCCCCAGGTGGCTGTTGGGCTTGCTCACAACATAGCGGTCCTGAGCAGTCAGACCTCTTCCATGGCAGCTGGCTGCCCACAGAGCATGCTTCCAAAGGCCCGGGCAGAGCTGTGAAGCCCCCCCTGTGGGTCAGAAAGTGCCAGGCCGTCCCAGATCCATGGGGTGGGGACTACACACAGTGGGAAGACTAGGAACATGGTTTGTTGGGGCCATCACTGAAGATGAATTGTTGCCCTTGTAACTATAGGGAACTGCACTTCACACCCTTGGCCAGGCCACCCAGTGTCCTGGGGGCCAGAGACCACTTGCCAGAAAACCTGCTGTGGGTTGAATTGTGCCCCAGGAGAGGTAAGCTGAAACCTGAACTCCCAGTGCTGTGCCTGCCGCCACATTTGGAAGTGGGGTCTGTGCAGATGGAATGGAATAACGATGAAGTCATACTGGCTTGGGGTGGGCCCTGATGCCAGGACAGGGGTCCTTACAGGATGAGAGGAATGTGGACAAGGTGGGAGAGCGGCCTGACACGGTTTCTCCCAAAGAGCCTCTGAGAGGAACTAACCCGCCCAGTGCCTCCAGACCTCAGGAGAATAAGCTTGTTTGAGGCCCCCACTTGGAGACATTTTGTTAAACCGACACAGTGCTCACACACAGCCTACCCAGAACCCACTCCACCTGACGGCCAGGGTCACAGCTGCACACAGGCCACTTCCTGCCTGTGGTAGCGTCTGGCTGTGGACCCTGGGCTGAGGGGCCACCTTGTCCAGCCTCTGAGCCCCTCACCCTGCCTTGCAGGCCTGCCCCAGCAGGAACGTGAGCCCAGAGCATCGGTGAACCAGCAGCTCCACAGACACCCTTTGTATTCCCACCGGGGGAAATTAACACTCATGCTGACAGAGGAGGTCGCTACAGTGTGACTGCAGAATGTTCAGCCTCTGGAGAAAGCTGTTTCCTGTGAGACCCAGCAATTCTGCTCCTCGATATGAACCCGGAACAGAATTCCCAGAAGACTCAGCAGTTCTGCTCCTTGGTGTAAACCCAGAAGACTCGGAAGCAGGGGTTCAGTGCAGATGCTTGTTCATCAGTATTTATTGCGACTTTATTCACAGCAGCCAAAAGATGGAGACAACTCATGTCTCCAAACATGATGGAGAAATGCAGTGTGGTCTGACATACAATGGAATATTACTTGGCCCATAAGGAGCTCTGGTGGCCTAGCACCTAAGGCATTTGACTGTTAACCAGAAGGCTGGTGGTTCAAACCCAACAGCCACTCCTCAGAAGGAAGATTAAGCAATCTACTTCCGTAGTGATACTGCCCCAGAAACCCAAGGAGGGGTCTCTGTGAGTTGGATCTGACTCAACGGCAGCGAGTTTGGTTTTGTGAGTGTTCTGGTTCTTTAGTGCCGCTCTGACAAGAATACACCACAAATGAGATGGCTGAACAAATGAGTTTATTCTTACATGAGGCTTTAAGTCCAAGTTCAGGGGTTGGGTGAAAGCCCCTCAACTTTGGGGTTCAGCTCTGCCTCCTGCTTCCGGCCCACTGAAGCTAGAGGCTTTTCTTCACTCAGACAGCTGCTGGCTGCTGAGACTGACAAGCCCAAAGTTGAGAAGTAAAAAGGCACAGTCCCGATGTTACCAAACCACACGGCAGGCCATTAATTTAAGTCTATTGAAAGTCCCAAGGTCGGCAGAACATGGCAGACTGCTGAACAACGACTCAGCTACATGCAGGATCCAAGCATGTCATAAACTAGAAACTATCCCCAAGGCTTCTCCTTATATACAGGAAGCTGACCACATTCCCAAAGGCAGCTACTGCTTATGGTAGATTCCACCATGGAGTTGATTACCAATCGCATCTTGGGGAATAACTACCACCAGCTGCCCAGCCACTCAACCAGGCCCAGCCAGTTGACATACAGATTTATCTACCACAGTGAGTATAAAGAGGAATGGAGTTCTGATTCATGCTACAACATGGGTGAACCTTGGAAACATGCTGGGTGAAATAAACCAAGCACAAAAGGACAGATACTGTGTGATCACACTTCGATGAAATACCTAGAATTGGCAAATTAACAGAGACAGTGTATTTGTGGTAAGCAGGGGCTGGGGAGGGGTGTGATTGCTGAAGGGGCAGCTTTTGTTTGGGGCATGAAATGGTCTGGAAATGTATGGTGGTGGGGGTTGCCCTACATGGTTAATGTAATTAACGTCACTGAGTAGTACCCCTGTTGTTGTTGTTGTTGTTATGTGCCGTCGAGTCGGCCCCGACTCATAGCGACCCCTCCTTGGGTTTCCGAGGCAGTATCACTACGGAAGTAGGATTGCCCAACCTTCCTTCCGAGGAGTGGCTGGTGGGTTTGAACCGCCAGCCGTCTGGTTAGCAGGCAAGTAGTACCCCTAAGGTGATTCAAATGGCAAGTTTTGTTACATGTGTTTTACTGCAGTAAATAAACAGATGAGATGTTGTTCTGGTTACCTAGTACCACTCTGACAAGAATATACACAAATGGGATGGCTTGAACAAACAGGAGTTTATTCTCTTACAGTTGGGAGGCATTAACTGAGTACAGAGTGCCAGGCTCTAGGGGCTGGGTGAAAGCCCCTCAACCCTGGGGTTCAGCTCTGCCTCCTGCTCCTGTCCCACTGGAGCTAGAGGCATCTCTTCACTCAGGCAGCTACTGACTGCTGAAGCTAATGAGCCCAAGGTCGACAAATAAAATGGCACAGTCCTAATGTTACCAAACCCCACAGCAGGCCATTAACTCAAGTCCATTGAAAGTCCCAAGGTCGGCAGAGCATGGCAGGCTGCTGAACAATGACGCAGCTACATGCAGGGTTCAAGCTAACCAGAAGGCTGGTGGTTCAAACTAGTGCCGTAAACTAGAGACCATTCCCAAAGCTGTGTCTTATATACGGGAAGCAGACCACATACCCAAAGGCAGCTACTCAGCTGCTCATAGTAGATTCCACCATGGAGCTGATTACCATTGTCAGCATGGGGAATACTGCCTCCAGCCCAGCCATTCAACCGGGTCCAGCCAAGTTGACACACACTTAACCACCACAGATGTGTTGAATTCCAAGAGCACTTTCGTGGTAGTTCTGAACTTTGATGACTGCCCCTTCCTTGTTTCTGCGTACCTGTTGATACTTTTTATCAAGGGCTCCTGCATTCCCATAAACTGCCCTCAGTGCCTCTTCCCACTGGGTCAGCTGTGTGGGATTGTTCTAGAACCTGTTATTCCATGGTGGCAGCCCTCTGCCCTCCTGCCACTTGGCCGGGTGCCCCTCCTCCTCTCGGAAATTCCCTTTAGCTGCTCCAGGTTCCATCCCCCCCGTGTCTGATCCCACAGCTGCCTCCTCCTCGTTTCACCCCCTCTCTTCAATGACCCACGTCCTCAGCTTTGGAGAGAGGTTTCGTGGGTTGAGACCATGTGTGTGTTATACTCACAGCCCCCTCCTGCTTGGCTGGTACTTGGCCAAATGGTGAATTCCAGTTTGAAAACCATTTTCCCTCAGTGCCACGAAGGCCTTGGCCCATTGTCTCTAGCTCCCATTGCTGATCTCTGTGCAGGACACTTTGTGGGCACTGCCCTCCATGAAAGCACTTGAGCCCTATCCGCCATCCTGATTGGGTCTCTCGTTCATCAGCCCAGCTGTCAAACTTCTCCATCTGGGAATGTGTCCTTGTGTTTATGAGACAGCCTCGTGTTCTTGCTTTTATAATGTTTCCTCCATTTTCTTTCTAGAACACCTATCAGTTGGACGTGGGATTTTGTGGACTGAACTTCTAACTTCTCTGTCTTATTTTTGCCTTTTTGTCCTTTAGTTTGAGTTTTCAGCTTTATCTTCCGATACATCTGTGTTTTCTATTTCTGCCATCCTATTTCAGTCTTCTCACATTCACGCTTGTCCCATGTTTCTGTCCTGTGGTATCATGTCCTTGTCTCGGATGCAGTCTCTTACCTCGTGGACGATGTTGTAGTTGGTTTTTGCCCTGGTCCAGGTTCATCATCTCTGCTCCCTTTGTTTCCAGAAAGAGAAAGAACAAACGAAAGGGGCAGACCTTCTTGGTTGTTCTCAGACCAGACACTCTAGTCATGTGTACGGTGGGCTGTTAGGGGTGGGCTTCACTGTGAGGACAAACCAGCCTCTCACTTTGGGGGTCCTCCACATTCTGCTGTCTGGGAGGGCCTTTCTCTGCACCTGCCTGGTGTTTCCAGGCAGAAGCCCCTTGGCTTGAGCTGCATAAACAGATTGGCTGCTGAGCTCAGCCCAGTGCACTTGCC